ACTTGACAATTACCTTCCCTGAATTTTACTCAGGTGTAACTAAAGTCTGCTTTAAGGGTTGTATTTCACATCATTAATCAGAATCTGTAAAGTAACTAAAATAAATGTTTACACACAATTAGCCTGCATGTGTAGTTCTGGGGGTAGGGGGGTGGGGCTGGACCCGTTCGAATCCAGTTTTGGATAGTCTGCCGTGGTCTCATTCCATTTCAAAGAGCTGTTTGAAGCTCTGCATAACCTTGGCGCACTGCCACTCCAACATCCAATCACAGAGCTTGAGGACTAATCACGGGGTTTGTCAAGCAAAGCGGATGTTGTAGTCCCAAACGATAGCTGAGGATAGGGGTGCATACCGGTTCCCGGTATTACCGAAATACTGGTTACTGGCGGCTACGGTATACCGTACCGAAATCAGATCCGTTTTTTTTTTTTTTAAAGTGAGGCGTAATATCCTCAAACTCGCACCCAAACCATCGGAATTACGATGTCAATTTCGCCGTGAAACTCCGCAAACGAGTCACTTTAGAAAATCTAAAGTGTGGCTGCATATGACTGCCAGTCTGAATGGTGGGGTCTGTAACCACTGCAAGAAGTTTATTTCTGGGAAAGGTGGCAACCTCCAACCAATACTATCTCGTATGGCAACCAAGTACCTTTGTGTTCAGGGAAGCAGCGTGCCAAGCGAGAGAGTGTTCAGTTCAGCAGGTGATATCCTACGCTGTGAAAGGGCCCGTTTGGATCCAGAGAGCAGATATGCTCATCTTCTTGAAGATGAATGCACAAAACTCAACTGTGATGGGATTAGTTTTCTTTCATCAGGCAAATGTTGATTTTAATGATGCTATTTGTTTTATGTGCAATGCCGAGATCTCATGATCCTTTATGTGTTCTCTGGTCAGTCGAATTTCAGGTTGAATATTGATTATACTGGTGCTATTTTCTTTTTCCATTGACAAGATGTGCTATTCACGCCTGATGGTTGATATAAATGATATTGCAGAATCTGTTTTCTTCATAGATAACGTGTTTTTCATTGTTTGTTCAGTACTAAAAGGTCCAAGTCCCACAATTGAATTTAATATTCATTTGACATGTTAACTATATCATAAAGCGCTTCATGGGAGTAATTGAAGGATGATTCAATTGTTCCCTTATGCAACATGAAAGTATCACGATATGTATCGGTTGAGTATCGGTATCGTTCAGTGGTATCAGTATCGGTATCGTGAAAAAGTCAACGATATGCAACCCTAGCTGAGGATTATGGGTAGTGTAGTGTCTTCGGCCATCCTAAACTCCCCAAAAACTATTTGTTTCTCCAAATCGAAGGTTAAAAACACAAAAGCATTGTACACAATTTAAACCAATCAATATTGTGAAATTAACAAGGATAAACTGATGTTTTTTAGTGGATGAGAACGGCAGATATCACTGTAAAATAATTTGACAGTGAGGGGAATACTTCCGGTTTTATTATGAAAACTTCGAGACCGGAAATACTGTTTTCACCCCGTGAGGGGTTGACGCCAACTTTATATGGACGCTGCCGTCAATAGAAATGAATAGGGGAAAGACGTAGTATATACACATTCTCCTAGCGAGACCTCAAATCATCTTCGTAATATCTATCAAACTATAGATCCTACACATCCACTGGACCTGGATTCTAAAAGTACAATATACACTTCTCGCTAGAAATCTAATCAAAAAGCATTTTAATAGCCAAACTATGCTACAATTTAGGATTTTCCAGAGAGGGTTATTTGTGAATATACGACCCTCCGGAGCGTTTGCAATTGCCGCAAATTGTTGTTTCTTACACGACCACTAGAGGTGCTAAACTTTAAAACGTGACTATAGGTCGTAATAAGCTGCTGAACAATCGATCTATTTGGTCGTTTTTTGGAGGAGGACAGGCTGGATTATGTGTAAAAGTTCTCTGGTGTGTGCCATCAAAATAAAACTAAAAAAAAGTTAAATATTTAAACAGACACATCTGGATTGACTTTATTTGGCACAGGACAAAGATATAAAGAAATAATTCAATTCACAATAAAAGGCATTGCTCTTTCCGTCTGACAGTAGAAGTAGATGAGAGAAAACAAGAGGAAGTGTGACAAGTCGTGTACATATGTATACATGTATACATATCTGCATACTGCTCTGTATATTCTGTGCTGCCTGCAGATATAAACAACACTGAAGCAAAGCCATGTTTGGACATTTCCAACCTCATAAGTTAGAATGGAGATGGCAGTATGGTGATTGAAAAATAGGCCTACTGTAAATAAAACAGCTCTTAACCTATTCAGAATAAATACATAATTCTTGTGAAGACTGAATGTCAGCCAGACGGCCCTGACAACTCCAGATTACTCTTTGATATCAGAACATGACAGTTTCTATAACACATCCTAACTAAACAGTCCAGTCCACGTGCTGCAGGTGTAGGTTCTATGATTGTCTCTTTCCTTCATGGATTTCCTCTTCTTTATCTTTCCCATCTCCTTTTGGAATGAGCTGACCAAAAATAACCCCTCATGACAAAAAATGTTATTCACCTCTTCCAAAAGCTTTAACTCTTTTCTGATAGGTTCACCAACAAACTCACCAGTTTAAGTATCACATTGCGCCCATTTCCACACTAATGGCTTAACACCCCCATAGCACCCACACATCAAGGTTGACAGCAGCTCAGTTCAGGCCTCATTGTGACTTTGAACCAAATTATGACAATTGCCTGTGATTACACAACGCCGGGACAAGTATTATTCGGATGAAAGGATCATGCACAGGTTGTCACTTGTGATTGAAGCCAACGATCCAGGCTGGAGTTCCCGGTAGAAAAAAAAGCTACAGTAGAAGGTGGTAATGCATTAGCAGGCCCCTCTCTTCTCCTTTTCTTTCAATAATGGATCCCATGAGTGTAGATCACTGTCAAGTTGTGAATTGGTTGCAACATGGTCATGGAGAAACAACAACAAATAGAACTGTGCTGGTAGGTTGCTGATTAGACAGGACTTCACGATATGTTTTTTTATTGTTTTTTAAGGGGCCTAAAAGATTGTAATCATCTCAATAAGTACTGGGCCACAGAGTGTGTTTGCAACTGTAAATATGTCTCGAAATATATTTTTGCACCACTGTTCAGGCTTATTATCTGACTGTCAAATACCAGTTTCTGCACAGTGGGAAATTATCATTATCTGATGCAGAAACACCTGTAAACAACAACTGCCCTCCTGTAGCTTGTGGTAAAGGCATATAAGTCAACAGCAGTCTTCTTCACATGTTAGCCTTTATTTGACATGTTATAAAATCCTTGCACTTCTAAAGTCATGCGTACTTAGATTATGCAAAGTTGACCATGAATATAAAAAAAAATATATAAAAATGCATCAGTATTTTCCCAACCACACTCTGTGATGAAAGCTATAAACTCCACAGCCACTGTGGTCACAGCTTACACATCTGTCTTGGCTTGTATTCCTGGAGTTCATCACTTTCTTCAGTGCCTAATTTTCCAAGGACTCCGTTCCACTGGTTTCCTGATCTGTGATTGAAAGGCTGGCGGAGAGAGGCCAGAGATAGTAAGTGATGATGAAATGGGGAAAATCAGTTGTGGTGATGATTATAGCAACATAAAACACTTCAACAATAGAGTTCTGCTTCTGCAAGATTGACTTATCCCAATAAAGACACTCCTACTGTACTTGAAATACAGAAATCTGTACACAGGCATACATTCTGTTGCATATTTGTAATCTCTGTCCTCCCAGGTTTAATGTTGACCCTTTTTTGTCCCACACACACACACACACACACACACACACACACTCACACTCACACTCACACTCACACTCACACTCACACTCACACACACATATACATGTATGCACGCTCACTCTGGGCAAGTCACAGCCTCTGTGTCAGCCTGTTTCTGTCAGCCAAGGACCTCACACTCTACTCACAGTAAAAAAAGGGTTAGTCAATTAAACGTATTTTAGGGAAACTACTATTTCTGCCAAGAGCGGTTACAGTCCAAACACGCTGTGCCAGTTGACTGTCAACACAGATGTGGTCTGTGTTTGGAGAGACTGAGAGAGACAAAGAGAGAGGCAGAGAGCAAGAGAAAGTGTCTGAATCGGATGTTGTTGATGGAAGTTTATTCAAAATGGAATATGAAAATGTCTCTGTCTCTTTGGGACGGAGAAAGAGAGTGAAGGTCAACTGAAAAAAACTTTTGCTGAACCTTTTATTATTGGCTTTCACATAACATTCCCCCTAAAATCTAAAGCATAAGGCTCTGGTACTTAAAGTGGGGCCCTACATAACAGCAGTTTCATAGTGTAAAAAGTATTTATAACATTCAATAATTTAAGTTTATTTTTTTACATATTATAGATTATATTCAGATAATACTATAAAGACTATTCTTTGTTTGATTTACAACCCATGAAAATGAAAGTAAGGAATACCTGAACCTTTAACTCATAAGCATATGCTTTGTTTACAAGAGAGATGCAACCTCCTTTCATCCTCACACCAACTCTTTAGTTTGAAACTCCTAGTCCTATTTAGATTTTGCTGAGATAGCATCTGACCCTAAACAGCAAACCAGATGTTAAGCATGAAGAAACACTTCCATTAAGTGAACCTCGCCGTGGTTTAGGGGGGTCAGGTTTGCAGTGACCCGAGAGTCAATTCTTGACTAATTGCTGAAAGAGACATATTGGTATTTTATTGTTTGTTTGAAATATATGACTGCAGCTCTATAGGCTATTTTTTGAATAGTGGATTCTTGTTGTGTTGGACAACAGCCCTATACTCTACAAGTGACTTATAAATATTTTATGACACAAGTGTAGCTACTCGAATAAAGGCTGAGGGAAAAGGTATAAAAATGAGAGTCAAGAATTATACATTTTTGCAAAATAGAGCATGTTTTATTTGTCCCAAGGGTGCTGTAAAGCTAATAGCACTTTCTGTTTTGCCTCTAGTCAGGTTTGATCAGAACAAAGGATGCAGACTACTTCCTGAGACCCGTTTCCCGCAGCCTCGTCCAGAGAGAGAACTTTACTGCACCCTCCAGTCACCAGCCACACATCCTCTACAAGAGTGATCGAACAGAGCACAGAGGTCATGACCCTCGGGTGCTACAGAAGAGATCCCCAGACTCAACTTATCACAAATCACACTTTGTCACCAAGAGATCCACAAACTCACAGACAGACCCCACCTACAACCCGGTCCATGATGATCAGCAAAGTGACATCAGTGACGGAGACCAAATGGAGCATCATCATCACAGTGACTACAGACATGGGGAGAAGAACAGGCAACACTTCTGCGGGAGACGGAAGAAATGTATGTAAGGGCAATTTCTTCTAATTCTATTCTAATCCACATGTTGCAACTGCCTTTCATGCATATATAAAGTAAACTTGCTGACAGAGTTTAAGTAATGCACATTTCTTAAGCTTTTTATTTACATAATAAAATGAGTGTGTGCAATTATTGAGAGAAGTAAAACACAAACCTTGCTTAAACACAAAAAAATGTGATGTAGTCATATTTGCCTTTTTCAATCCCTCCAATGGAAGTGGTTAACATTTGACACTTAACACTAGAACCGCCAACCGGGTCAATTTGACCCAGAGCTGTTTTTTTTTGTGTGTAACTTTTTTTCAATAAAATATTAAAGTCTTCCAGTCCGTGACTTTTCCTGAAAGTGTGTTATGTAGCACCCTATGTTGTTAAAAATTGTCAATATGAAGTCAGATTGAAGAAATCGCCCAAAAAATTGCCATTTATACCTATTTCCGCCAAGCGGGTCATATTGACCCCACCCCTTTTCATATAAACATGACGTGTTGCTATAGCAACGCCTTTTGTCTACTGCGGTTCCTTATAGATTGAGAGATAGATTGAGAGAGAGAGATAGATGGATAGATATATTGATAGATAGTTATAGATAGAGAGAGAGAGAGAGATAGAGACAGTCTGTAGTGAAGGAGTGCGCTCCGGCTCACGGGAGACTGCTCGCGCTGCGCTCCGCAGCAAACAGCTGTGGGGCGAGTTGAAAGTACGTTATGCTGGCCGCGGTGTCTAAATAATGCTTCCGGGCCAGCGGGCCATTTATAATGTCGAGCCCTGAGAGTCCACAGATTATATTGGTATACGTTTCATCCCTGTGCGATCAAAACTCACTGTTCAATAAAAGAATATTTGACCTTGAAAATCAATGCATTCTAATAGCGGGTCAATTTGACCCAGGTGGCGGTTTTAGGTATAAAAAATCTCTGGCGGTTCTAGTGTTAAAGAAGGTTCCCAGATGGACATACGTCTCACATTGCACATTTAAGGCTTTGTCAAAATATTGTTCAATTTCAAGATATAGCCGAATTAGTGGTTTGAACTTAAAGAAGTTAAGCCACATTTTGAATACTGTGGTAATGAGAAAAAACTTTCAAAAAGATTGACATTTGATAATAATTGTATTTGTTGACATTTGTGTTTAAATGTGCTATTGGTCATACTTCTGACTTTGTGGTTGGTTGGTGTGAGGGAATAACACACACCATATATATGTATCTTATCTTATCTTATCTTATTTTTTACTCATCACTTAATTTTATAACTGAGAACATTATGTAACCTTTGAACACAACAGCAAATCAACATCTTTGATACATTTCTTCTAAAATAGATCCTGAGGCTAGAAAGCAGGTTGTATTTCACATGGTGACAAATGCTTCCTCTTAAGAAGATTATCTCAATCTGTATTGACATGTTCGGTGACATTACTGACATGACCTGGGAAAGGTTAAGGGAAATGTTTTATACTCACTTTACACTGTGACAAATGTTTGCTCTCATGGAATCAACCCAGGATCAGTTAACATTGCCGGTGTCACAGGGGTCATTTGAAAGAAAGCATAGGCAGGGATTGGACTGGTACCACCACCATTTCCCTGCAGAACCCAGCTGTCTGTCCCCTGCGAAAACACTCTGGTGTTTACATTCCCATAGGATGACATCACTGAACACCTGTGCCACGTTTCAGTCAAAAAGGCACTGTGGTTGCTCACCTGCTCTCAGCTATGTAAGCAAACGTTCTAGCCTTTTTAGTTTATCATAGCCAGGCAGTGAAGGTTTTGATAACCTGGAAACAGAGGTGAAGATTTGAGGCGATAATCTCACAAGCTAAAATAGTTTTAGGCTGCGCTTTGCTTTGACTTGTATGACCTCATGTCAAAGTGTAGAAGTGAGTATGGATGTGAGACATGTTTCCCAAATCCAACCCAGCTTCAAAAGGAGAGTTACTGTAAACACAGGGTTGATGGGGTCATTTGACCTTAGGATAACTCTAAGTGTGTTTGTTTAAGTCACATTTTACTTAAAGCACTGATAAGTTGTACCAATATGCCACCAAAAACATTTTCCTTTTAATACAGCTTTACTTTACAGTTAAAATGCTTATCTTATCTTTGACACACTGACATAATGTTGGGCCCCATCCAAATGTACCTTTATTAATACATTTGCAAATGAGATTAAAACGGATAAAGGTCAATACATTCATTTACCATCATAATGAATCAAGAATTGGCCCTTGTCCATCATTACATAGTATAGTGTTATGTCCACATTATATGAAATTGCTCAAAGATCTGTTTGATGACTACACTGACAGCCAAATGGATTTGCTTTTCATAATGTAATGTCAATTACGGCTTTCAAATTGCACATTAGAAAATGTGACTTGCTCTAGCTGTTGCTAATGCACAGCCATTCTGTGGTTTCACGCTTTACTTAGTGGTAGCATAACACTCAGACTGCCAGAGTCAACATCAGAAAAAAATCTCAGTTTACAGTTTAAACATGACATCAGTTCTTGAAAGAAAGAGTATAGTTAATCATCCACAATGTTTATCATCTACTTTCCAGAAACACTGGTTAACACTCACATGCAATTTGGCTAGTGGCTATAGGTTTATTTCAAATATTGCACAACATATAATTAGCTGTGGGAAGGAAGGGTTGTATATTTTTTTAATGGACGCAATTATTGCTATTAACTTGCTATTATATGCACTATTGTTTTTTCTTTCATCAATCACTTACAACTCACCAAACTGTACTTACGTTTGTTTCTTCAACATTCTGAAGCCATGTTTTCTTTTCTCCAACAAAACCTTTCAGTTTTTTCTTAAGTTTCCACACCCTTTCTTTTGTTGAAAAAAAGGTTAATAAGTTCACTCCATTTATCCTTTATTCTGTTCTATTCAGACATGCCCAAGCCTCCAGAAGAGGATGTCTTCACCCTTCCAGATGAGTACAACTTCACCCCGAGGAGCAAAAGAGCAGTGCTAATGAAGAACAAGGGTAATGAGAAGCTCAATGTGGAGACGCTGGTGGTGGTGGACAAGAAGATGATGGACAACCACGGCCACGAGAACATTACCACATATGTTCTCACTGTGCTCAATATGGTGAGGGAAACATAATTATATGTACAATGTTACACATCATAAGTTTAAAGTTTAAACTATATTGGCGGTGTAATATTTCCGTGAGATTGTTGGCCTGCTGATTTTAGCGTTTAGCTAGGTTTCAATGAGTACAGCATGCAGAGATGCTTGCATGGTGGACTTAATCTTATGTTTATAAATAACAAATGTAATATAAGATGTGTTTTTTCTACTATATACCTCATGTCTTCTTTACAAAATGCAATCTTTACACAAAAAAGAAGACTCTTGCATATATCCAAGTATCAAACATCTTGATGACTGGATTAAATACCGGTTTTATTTGCTCTGTCTTCAACATTGTCATTATTTAGCATGTTAAGACATTGGCGTAACATTATGTGGAAGCAATGCATAAAGAGATTTAAAGTTTGCCATATCTTAGAGTGTAGTGACTTCCACTCTCCCTTATGAGAAGCACATATAAAAACATGAAAGTGATATCTCAGTGAGATCATTGCCATGACGCTCAAAGTGTCCACCCATCCTTCTCAGCTGATCTGAAAGCAAATTCCGTCACGCTCGTTTGGCTACTTAATGAGTGATTGACAAATCCAAAGATAATCCGTCTATTTTGAAAACACAGTTCCCTCTAGTAGAAACCAAGCTGGAGCAGTAACGGCCCGCCTCAGAGGAGTCACCTAACTGTAGTATGGAGTTTCACAGAAAACACCCATCCCCCTACCCCACCTGTCAGCTCTCATGGGTCTTTAAAGGTTATTTAATATTTGTGAAAAATTCAATATGATGTGCCTTTCCAGCCTTTGCATGGATTTAGGTTTTCTTCGCAGCAGAGTGGAAAGACTTCAAAAGCGTTGATTACAAATGTAACACACCGTACATGATATAGCACACAACACTGAAGCTCTATGGAAACTGGTGATTGTTTCTATAAGGCAATGAAAACAAAGTGATTTACTCTATGTGTTGAATTTTTACAAATGTGGAGCTCTGTCAAACAGCAGTGTAGCATGAGAGTTTAGTTTAAGTAAGTGGTTTTGATTGCCTCTTTGACCTCTGAGTTCTGCCTGAATTTGGTAACAAACCACAGCCATGTGTCTTCTCATGCGTCAGCGCAGTGGAAGACCAAACATCAGGAACATAAGGAACGAATGAGAGTGTTCCTGAAGGGGGGGGAAAGGGCTTAGAGAGTGGCACCTGAGGTATTCACAGGGAGAAAGATAGAGAGCGAACAAGCGCAAAGGATCAGGAGTCTACCTTCAAAGCCCAAAGTGTTATGATTAATGGTCAGATATCCGTTTTAGTACAAGAAGAAATTGAAAACAGCAGTTATGGCTGTCATAGCTCCCTGATACCATCAAAAGAGATGTGTGTGTTTTTGTTCTACAGGAATGTGTGTTGTCTTATGCACTTGACACAGACGTCTCTATTGCATGTGTCTAAGTGGTGCAAAAACGTATTGGTCATCAGAACAAAAGTATCAATTTCAGGACTTAATATGTTGACAATAACCTTGATGAAATTGATAAAAATGTCTGTAGTTATTTTTAGCCCAGGATTGTTTGGGTCATTAGTGCCTTTATTGTAGTGACAGTGTTGACGGGATGATATATGGCAAATGGTCCTGGGCCGGATTCGAACCCTGGTCCTCCGCTAGGGGACCATCTCTTCCAACTGAGCTATACGACGACTGATGTAGGCTACTTTTTGAAGTAGTTGTAAGTTAAACATCTTTAAAGATACATGGACAAGTGAAATAGGACGCTAGTAAGTGCCAATTAAAAGTCATCATAAGGTCATGGCCATGGTATTTTAACAGTTGTCACTTTCATGAGTAATATTTTGATAAAAAGCTGCAAAAGTGATCTTTCTGACTTTCATGATGCAATAGATGGATGAAAGAGTTTTATCAGACTATTGTGTTAATAATATGTAATAATGTATTTTGACCTGCCTCCTAGGTTTCCAGTCTCTTCAAAGATGGTACGATTGGGGGGAACATCAACATAGTGATCGTTGGCCTTGTGCTTTTGGACGAAGACCAGGTAAGCATCACAATGCATGCTAGTCAGGTGAATACCTTAATATGTCAATAAGGAATCACTGAATTGTATTGCTGCATTTTTTAATGGTTTTGCAGATTGGAAGGGTTTGAAACATTCTCACATGAAAGGATTTGTATGTATCCAGTTAAAGGGACTTCAAAAACACTAATAACAGTGTGTTTCTCTCTGTGTTAGCTGTGTTCATGTTGGAGCTTCAGACACGAAAGGAATGCAAAGCACAAAAAACTGCAAAAAAATGGTTTCTTTGTTTATTTGTTTTTATGCCTGAAGGTCCAGATCACTTTGTCTCTCAGATATTTTCCCGGGGTCGTCCCAACTACTAAGGACTTTTACAGTGGTTAATTATAGGATGTGCATTTCCTTGGATCTTTGCCCGATATAGGAGGGAAATTCTCTCAGAGCGGGAGATGGAAAGAAAGACAGCGTGAGTGCAAGAGAAAAGAAAGGAGAGGGAGAGAAGCAGAGAGAAACAGGTGGGGCAGGGTCAAAGACAAAGAGTCAGGCAGGGCAGGAGAAGGAGAAGGGATTCCAGTTTCCATCCACCTGTGATGTTAATAGATTTTATCTAACTTAAGAGGAAATTATCAGCGGGAGGAATGTGAAAAATGTCAATAAGGTCACAGATGTTTGTCTTTGTAGCAGAAACTCTTATCTGATAAGTGTCTTCTCTCAAATCTTCCTAGATGTCAAAAGAGTTTGGTAATTGAATTTATAAAGCAGGCAATAATCTGGTATAAAAAATATCAATGCATGTAATCACATTGCCTTCTCTTTGACATGTTTCTCCTTTTAATGAAGAAGACTAACATGCAGATTCAACCATAATGCAACAGTGTCTCTCTTTTTGCTTCCTCTTATCTCCTTATCTCACAGGATGGCTTGGTGATCAACCACCATGCAGACCACACACTGAACAGCTTCTGCCACTGGCAGTCCACCCTGGGAGGCAGGGAGGGCCGACACCACGACCACGCCATCCTCCTCACGGGACTCGACATCTGCTCTTGGAAGAATGAACCCTGTGACACTCTTGGTAGGCTTCATCCTCAACATTTAGATGTAGATTCTGTAGTTACAAAATGCCTAAAAGGGTATTACTGATTTAAATGCTAAAATGACAAGGGTTGGTTGTGACTATCTTTACAAAGTCACATATATACTATATGTCCCTATTCTGCTTTTGTTCCTTGGTCTTTTTAGAAGTATGCCATTTGCTCTTGCTGTCTGTCCTTCTCTGGGAAGTTGTCCCTGTCCTCTGTCACACGGTGTCACACCTAGTGTCACATAAGCTAAACCAGGTGTTCAAAAAAACTGCAGCTATCAGATGTTTTAAACTCCACAGTATCAACCACTGTACTGTATACACTGAGGTGAAAACCTATATGTTTTACAGCATAAGACAAGAGAATATTACTGTTATGACCATAAAAAGCAATATCGAAAGGTCAAATCTGATTCACAAACACATTTATATCTGGATAAATGCAAGACCAGAGTAATATTAACCATAAAGTCAGTAAATAAGACTAATGCTAGTAATGTTTTCACTTAAATAATTTGAAAAAGTGCCCTTTAGCTAATAACTGTACAGACCAGACACAGCTACTTTGAACACGAACACACTCTCAGTCATTGAGTGTTAACCATCTAACAAACTAACAACAGCTTGTTTGTAATAATGACCATGCAAACACATTGTTGTCTTCCTCACTGTGAGAAAAGACTTCCATTGTGTCCCCCAGAGAAACACACACAAGCACATACACATAATGTGAAGCACACACTGGCTTCAAACCCCAAGCTTGTGTTTTGACTTCAAAGTGTCAAAGTGAGGCTAGCATTAGCTCTAATCATTGCTATGAAAGCCCAGTTCAAAGGTCTGTGTGTCTTTCTGTGTGTGTACATTCAAAAAATAGTTAGTTCTCCCAAAGGTGCAAGGCAAATTGACCATTCCAGCTACCAGTCAGTAGATAACTCAGTTTATTTGCATTACAGTTACAGCCTCTTCCCTCAATGTTTTTCTCCATAATTCAAAATATCAATGATCGACCTCTTTCCTGACACAAAAAAAGTAAATAGCAGTTCTCACAGTCAATCTGCATGCTTGTGTTTAATGTCATTATTCACATTAGCAACGTATGTACATGAGAACATAACTTTAGGGGGTTTACGCTTTCTGGAGAATGACTTTGAGCCATAAAATAACAAAACAAAAGGCTAAACTCTCACTGAGACACCGAGACAAAAACATTAAGGGAGGCCCCGTTGGGTATTATCCTTTTTGATACAGAGCCAAGGGTGCCGTGCGTGTGTATGTGCGTGCGTGTGCGTACGTGCGGTCATGTGTCTGTGTGGATAAAATCTGGATAAGACACAGAAGGAGATTGCACAGAGAAAGGCATAAAGGGAGCTAAATAGTTAACGTGGGTTTAATAGAGAATGAGTAAGAAGTGAAGACAGATAAAAAATGCTTTAAAGATAATGGAAAGGTAGCAGGGGATCTAGGAATGTTTCCACAGAGACCAGTACTTGACCATATGGAGGGGTTTAAACCCAGTCATCTCTTGTGAATTTGTGCTTTCCATTTGAGAGAATCTTGTTGGAGTAACACATTTCAGGAGTTAGTCCAGAAAATTTCAATTTATCTTGAAATAAGTTTATCTAATTGCATCTCTGGTTTTGCAGGTTTGCTCCAATAAGTGGGATGTGCAGCAAGTACCGGAGCTGTACCATTAATGAGGACACAGGCCTGGGCCTAGCATTCACCATTGCACACGAATCTGGACACAAGTAAGAGTTTTCTATCCCTCTCACGAGTGCATGTTTACAAAAAAGTGCTGGTAATTTAAGGCGTAAACCACAATGTCCCTGGTTTGTTTAGTACTACTCCACTTTGTCTCCCTCTCCCAACAGCTTAAAAACAAACAAAAGTGAAAAAAGAACCAGGCAGAATATCGAATGTTCAACAATTGTTATGGAATTTTTAACCCCACCTGAAGATAATCCTGTGCCATGCATTGCTTACAATTTACATTTCAGTCGAACATTTTATGTTTTTTAAGTTTTTTTATAAAAAACCATAGTAATGCAATGTTGTGCTTACACATTGTTGCTACACCTTAACTTGGTATGGCCAACTGTCTTTTACGGTTTGATTCAATAATATTGAAAATGTTTATGTATTTCATGGAGCATTTTCACTTGTACACACAAATAATTTGCACCTTTTTTCCACTCCCCAGTTTTGGAATGGTCCATGATGGTGAAGGGAACGTTTGTAAGAAGTCCGAAGGCAACATAATGTCTCCAACATTAGCTGGGCACAATGGTATCTTCTCATGGTCTGCGTGCAGCCGCCAGTACCTCAGCCGCTTCCTCAAGTAAGCAGACATTATTCTATTACTGCTATGCTTTTATTGTAGTGCTTGAAGAATATACAAATATTTCAAGAAGCATTTATTGTTAATTATTACATGTATGGGTATCACTCATACGATCTCCATCACTTACATATGGCACATTAATGTAATGAGTTATCGTCATGCCAGCCTATCTTAAGTGCTCATGCAACAAAGACATTAGGCCAAATCATTAAAAGAAAATTATTAAACCAATAGTCCCCCCTAGCAACTAGCCACTTTTAATTTGCATTGTGTTGATATTATTTAACATGTGTTCCTGAAAGATGAACATGTGTTGTAGAAAAAACATGTCTGCAGCAGACATATCAGTTACAAACACTGCTCTTATCCAAAGAGTGGCAAGGGAAAAACTGCACTTATGTTAAAACTATTACAGGACTTGCTTTACTTTTGAAAAGGAAGGACAAGCAGGCTGTATATATGGGAGTCTGGAATATATAGCTGACATGGCAACACAGTGATATGTGGTGCTGCTTTTCTCCTGGAGGTGTTGTTTTACAGACTTCATACTGTATGTTTTATGTGTCTGCGTACATGAGAGTAAACCTGTTTGAGTGACAAAGTCTTGTAAGTGTGTGTTTGTGCAATAAATGCATTTCCATGCATTCAACCTGCTCATCCAAGTGAGGAAAACAAGCTACACAGACGTAGCGTCCATGTGTCTGGCCGTGTTACTATGTGTCTGTGCATGTGAGTGTGTGCTTGAAACCAGATAGTTTAGAACCAGTGCCCGCCACTAAATTTACCAGTGTGTTAACTGAACTGTCAGGTCTCCCCTCTCAGAGTGGTGGAGACAGACAGTGTATTTCCTCGCTGAGTTATTAGAGCTGCGGTGACCTCACCCTTGTTAGACCTGTCAGCCTTATATTAAACTCCCATCAACCCCTGAGGCCACGTGGAGGGGATCTCTGCACCACTGACACAACCAGGGGTCGTCTTCCTGTACAATCCCTGAATGATAAAAGAAGAAAAAATACTGAAATGCTGTACGTTTTCCTAATTGCAATCAACAGAATGTTATGATATTGAAATGTATTTGGCTAAATGTGTCTTGTTGAGTTAACTGAGACTCTCTAATGTCTCTACCTTAATCTGCAATGGAGGAGGAATGAACAGAGTTTACATCACACTCACTTTAAGTCTGCCTCTCCTCAGTCAGCTATGGCAGAGAGGACTGGGCCAATGCTGTATGTATAGTCAGAGTCTTTATCGCTGCTCTTTGTCATGCCTAAAATGGATGGACAACTCTCATGGCAGGGGAAGCAAAATCCCCTTCAAAGCCACTTGAAGTTGTTTTTGTTTTGTGAGCACCATTGAATCCCATCAGAAAGTCAGTGATGCATAACAGTTAGAAGATTCTCTTGAGGTCCCATTTCTTTTCCCAGGGTCAGTCATGCCACAGAGGACACATTTTGGCCCATTGGTCACATCATGGCCAAATTCTGTGGAGATATCTCTGTGTTTTTTGTTCAGCTTTTGTCTTTGATGTCTCTTGCAAGTTTGAGCTCTTAAGTGGTTGGACTCGAAACAGGAGGAAACTGCTAACCTGCTACGTAAGAAAAGTAGCTAACTCTGTGTTCATCTGTGATCTCTAAAATTCACAGATTAAAAACTTCATATCTTGCTTCTGAACATAATCTGAACCAAAACAGAGCTGTAAAAAAAGTTTGCCATTTTATGTGAGGGCTATGAGTCACATTGCTTGGCCTAAAACGATAGGATAGGATGCCTGCAGGGAATAGTTGCTTTTCTTGTTTATATAATTTGTAACTATTTTTATTATAACCAGCTGATGATTATCATGGCTTAAAGTGCTAAATGTTGTTAAAACATTTTGATCCAACCTTTCAGAGTACACACTTTACAAAAAGCTGCTGCTTCTCTGAGAGCAATCTGCTCCGAGCTACATGGAGCATGTAGTGTTTGCCTGAATGCATGCTCTCCCATGGACCTTACTTTGGTGCCTGCAGATATGTGCACTGTAAATATAATGTATTTTACAGAGACATTATTAAGTGTATAATGTAGAATATCAGAATGTTGCACTTAGTTACACATGTAGAATCGCCATTGTTTTGTGTAGACCCATAGGACCCATAAAGAAATGTAATATCTCACACACACACACACACACACACACACACACACACACACACACACACACACACACACCACACACACACACACACACACACACACACACACACACACACACACACACAAACACACACACACTTTAACATACTCTGCTAAAGCAATCATGACCACTCACTAGCACTATGAAAGTTTCCAAGATATTTTGCCTTTTCATGCCTTTCCACCATATTGTTGTATTACAGTATATTCCCCCAACTGCAGTGTATCAACTGTAAACCATCTCCGTATAGTAACCAGTGATATCACCTAACATTGAAAACCCCTGCTGGTATTAGGATTTGAGCAATATGGGCAGGTTTTTTTTATGTCTGACATGTCATAATTGAGCCTGTGATGCATTAAAACCCTTACTCTCAGGTTTTAAGTTTGGCAACTTTTTTTGTTACCATGGCAATACTTTTCAGCACTCTCCATAGTGGGAAACAATGGAGCTTCACGCATTGATGCTCCCTGTTGTGAAATGTCTATGTGCACAGCATGGAACCTTAAGTATCAGCTACCTTAATAGCTCTTAGGCCTAGGCTCCACGGGAACGAAAACGGGTTGAATCCGCATATTTCTCATGCGTATAGCCCTTTAAGCTCGACGACGCCGTAACGGAAACGTAGAAACAGACCCTGCAAACGACAACGGGTCCAAAGGTGGATAGATCTGGGAACGGAGCTCTCTGGGGGGTCCAACGGGGCCGTGGAGTCGCCTATACGGTCATCCGTTTCTGATAATGACGACGCAATAGCCCCGCCTCTCCCTGCCTCTGCTGCTCACCCCCGCAAAAGTACACTGCACACTGAATTCAGATTATTTATCTTTATCTCGATATGGACATAAACGCGAGTGAAGTCTAATCTGACAGGACGGAGACACGCAGCTCCTCCCGCTGTGATGCAGCGGGAGCAAAACACACACTTCAAGTCAGATCACCACCCTTAGCTATTTTAATTACCTCTCAAACTACCTAAACTAGTTATAAATATGTTTATTTTTACTGTCGGGTCACTCATTACAGGATCAGCTGCTGCATGAGACAGACACTGACGCTGTCAGAAGAGAGGAAAAAGAGACAGGCTCCGTGTATTTTATGATTATATATCATTATATCGTCGTTATTCATTTGTTTTAAAGCTCAATAAATAACAATGAAGACCTTTGACCGGCACTTTTATAATTTTGTCCGGAAGATTTAAACTTTAACACACGTTGACCGGCGAAAAACTCTGCCCGGTTCCGTCGGCCCGCACCAAGGAGAATAAACAGAAGTGCAGCCATGACAACCATTCTTCTTCGCTGCTTTTGTGGAGGAAGTTGCTGCTTTGGTGGAGGAAGTTACAGCGCCACGTACAGGTTCGGCATATGTACTGCAGCTTTTCCAGCGGTTGGATGTAAACGGAGCCGTCTCGTGGAGCTTGACACAATCCGGTGTATATTGCGTGTGGGCGGAAGGTTTTTTGCGGTTGCGTTTGCGTTACTCCGATGCGTTTTGCCGTATGCGTTCCCGTGGAGCCGGGGCCTTAATCATGTGGGTGAATGACTGTTTGTGTTTGCACAGATGTTGTATATCAGATTAATGATGAAATCTGCTTTATATTTTTCCCTACTTTCCTTTCCTGTCCACACTGACCGAAATGACCCCAACTTTCTTCCGTTTTGTCCTTGTTTCTCTGATTTCTTCTTATCTCTCCTTTTGTTCTCCTACTTTTCCATGACTGCTTATTTTATTCTCCTCTTCTCCTCCAGTTCCGCCCAGGCCTTGTGCTTATCAGATGAACCCAGAGCAATCAAGGAGTATCGATACCCTGAGAAGTTGCCTGGCGAGCTCTACGATGCTGATACACAGTGTAAATGGCAATTTGGGGAGAAGGCCAAACTTTGCACCCTCGACTTTAAGAAGGTAAAGTAGATTTTGACTGAAATGTGACATCCAATAACCATTACAAAACTTCCATGCTGTGTTTTAATTCCCTCTGGGGGGGTTTCTCAGCCCATCCACTGAAATTCAGTGCTTAATTAGATAAAAACTATGTTATGGCAATTGTTTCTTAGGAACAAGTAGAGAATGAAATTGAGAGCGGGATGGGGGGAATGATGTAGAGGAATAAAGGGAAGAGGAAGGAAAAGAGCAACTGATTAGGATTGCATTCCCTCATGTGAATACACACAGACATGCATGAGTATGGTACTCCCTCTCTCTCTCACACACAATATAAACAGTGAGGGTTATAATGCTGCCCATGTAATACTCACAGGGATGGATGACTAAATATACACTGGAACATTGCCAATGGGAATCTCTCCTTTTTGCTCTCCCATTGTCTCATTACGGCTGATGTTATTGGTTGATACCCTGACTGAGTCCAGATAGGGTTTAGATTACTCCAATGTTTGTTGGCACTGTAAAGTCTGGTGTTCTTCAAGTATTGGTGTTCTTGCATCTGCATTTGAGATCTTCATGGGCCCAAACATGGTACCCAGCTGAACCTCACCTTGAGATGCACCTGCCCTTCCAAAAAAGGACCATGGCACACAATTGTTCTGCTGAAAAACTCCACATCTCCTGTTTATTTATTAATGTTGTCAATGGATCAGCCAGCAATGTTCCTGTAATAAGTTCATTATGGTTTGGTTATATCTCCCCCTTGCAAGTTGGTGAATGGGACAGGACTGGCAAGAAGACAGACAAGTATTGTTGTCTTCTTCTTCTTCTTCTTACTCCTCGAAAACAATACTTTTGAGGTTTTCTGTTTTATTGATGGTGGAAACATTTTGGGAAAGAAGCTTTCAAAATACCACAGAGATTACTACCTGGATTTAAACCCATGAGGAGCACACGTTATTCTACTTAGCTTTCTCATCTAAACATTGAAACATCCAAGTATAATTTGAAGATACCTGAGAATTGCTCCCTCGTGGTTTTGTTTTCAGTCTATGCACTATCTTTGGTCTTGCACCTGCAGCAAGGTGCACAGGACCCAGAAATCCCCAAGCAACAATCACACTCACCGACTTTCCAGACACTTGTTACACAAGAAAACAACACCACGAGAATTGTCCTCAACGGTGCAATTCATCGTGCAATGAATTCATATTTCCCGAAACATTTTGGCAGGCCTTGTCAAGATACGGTACTGCCTGAGGACCCAAATGATACTCTCTGTGGTGTGTGTGTGTGTGGTTAGATAGAGGTAGCAATAAGTACAATAACATGTATGAGTGTTTTTCCTGTTTCTCTCTTTAACTCAGTTTCGGTCTCACTGTGTCCATCATTTCTCTCTGTCTTATCCTTCTATCACTCACTTACTCTTTTCCCTGTCCTTTTCTGCCATTTGTAATGCTACAAAAGGCCTGAGCAAGCTAAACAGCTGGACAAATAGGCTTTGGGATGAATTCCATGGTGGCTCTTGGCAGCAACAAGCTGAGGCCAAGGTGCCTGTCAACATCTGCACTGAGAGTTGTCAAAATCTGATATAGTCATTCGGATAGTAATAGACTGGACATGTTAGAAAGCAGAAGGCCATGTTTCTCAGGCGATGTGAACAGGGAAACCAGCCGGTCCCTTCAGAATGTTTCATAGAAGCTCAGCCATGACATCATGTCAAGTTTGTTAAGTCATTTGTGTCCTGTTAATGCACATCATTACCTACCAGTATCTCTGTTTATATCCTGTGCAGGTTGAACTGTTTCTGACCATAAGAATGGCTGTATGTTAGGCAAGGAACATGTATGAAGATACGGACAGCAGCTGTTTTAGTTTCTGCAGAAGTGTAGATGTTCATGTTTTACTATCAGTGATGCATTGCCTGTGAGACAATAAAGTGTTGTTATCCTAGCTACTGAAGCATACATATTTTGGGGTTGCTTCACACTGATAGCGTGCCAGAAGATCATTATTCAGACAATCTAATTGTTAGCAAGTTTTCCATCATGTTATAATAGCCCTCATATGGCAAAATAACAATGTTATCATCATTTATTATCTATGTTGGCTTTGTAAACAGCAGTAAATTAGGAGTAAAGTGTAACTCCTTGCGTTTGTTGTTCCAGGATATCTGCAAGGCTCTGTGGTGCCACCGTGTTGGGAGGAAGTGTGAGACGAAATTCATGCCAGCAGCTGAAGGCTCTGCCTGCGGCCCCGATATGGTGACTCAACACGTGTATTTGTGTGTGTGTGTGTGTGTGTGTGTGTGTGTGTGTGTGTGTGTGTGTGTGTGTGTGTGTGTGTGTGTGTGTGTGTGTGTGTGTGTGTGTGTGTGTGTGTGTGTGTGTGTGTGTGTGTGTGTGTGTGTGTGTGTGTGTGTGTGTGTGTGTGGTGGAGGGGTTCTGGGAGATTGGCGCACAAGCTTTTTTACTTCAAGAGTGGCACCCTTTGACTGGCAGAAGAACCCATTCATTGCTTTTAGACGTTTTTATCCATTGCTTTGAGAATATTTGATGGGTCATAGAGACATTTCCAGCAGCTAGAAACCCCTTTCGTTAGGATGTTATGAATCATGTAAATAATGCGTGATATATCCAGGGGGTAGCTTTGCCCTTTAATCACTGAGATAACCTTTGTTCTGTTTTAGCCAAAGGAGCCAAATTAAGGTTGCAGTTTATACGCCTGTTTTGTCAAAAGAGGACACCATGTGTTTTTCTCTTGACTGTTGCCATCACACTGCTCCATGGCAACATCTTAACAAATAAATCCACACATGAAAGGAAGCAAAAAAGAGCCACTCATAAACATTTCTTTGCAGTTATGTTGAAAATATGCCCAATAACACAATTCAAAAAACATTGGAAGTGACAGTTTGCAGATTCCCAGCACAGAATTAACAAACTGGTCTGCAAAAGAACAATGAAATAAGTCAATTGAATGGATTTTCGGCTTTAAGGCATCAGTTGTTCCAGCTTTTTTTCACCACCCTGCTTCGTATTATCAGCTGTGTGACATTTAGTATGCGAGGGATAGAGCTTGTTAAAAAAGTCTCACACACAGACCATCGCATAGATTCCTCCTCAAAGGGATACCACCGACCTCAGGGTGATTTAATTACACTTGACAAAGCGTGACAGTATTTTATAAGGTGAACATGCAAAATTAATGGAGATGCTATTATAAAAGCAGCATTTATTGAGGGCTTTAGTATTATTTGGGGGACATTATACCACTTAGTTTGGCTATTTCGAAACAAAAGGCCTTGAACAGTGAGTGACGCTGCACTTCTTAAACGGCCTCTTTTTACACACCAAGATCTTTGTTCCCGTGCAGACTAATAAATCAACTTGTGAGCAAAGAGTTTTGTAATGTTTTAGATGTGGGTTCATTTGAGTGCAGTGTCAGTAGAATCTCTTTTTTTTTTGATAGTGTACCACACTCTCCCTTCATTATTTTACCTCAGGGAGCAGCTGCAATTGGTTTGTTGCTGACGTGGCAAAAATAAGCCATTGGGGCGCAGGCCAGAAAGCAATCTGTGCTCTTTATTTATTCTTTGTTTCTTTCCTTACTTCTTTCAAGCTGATTCTCCCCCAAAGGCTCGCTCTTGCTCTTACCCTCCCTCCCATGACAGCCCATCATCCACATTTGCTTCTCAATATATTGAACTTGATGGTTTAATCCCGCCCTCTCCCTCCACGGGACAATTAACCGAACACAAACAATGACAGGCTCACTTAGGAATCCGTGGCACTCAGCCGCAGGGGGAAACTGAGGGGAAATCAGCTGTTCTAGTTCTTAGTCAAGGGCCACAAGATTAGTTGGAGGGGTGTGTGTAAGGGTGTACGCAAACGTCTGTCTCATGGCAGGAAATAAGCACAAAGTAAAAACAAGAACAGTGGAATATTTGCCACCCTATCTATACTAATGCATTGCGTTTTGTACAGTGTGTGTTTGTGTGCTTGCAAAGGTTAGATTACTCAAAGGCAAACTGGACTGGGTATATTGTGACTGATGTCATCTTCTCATGTACAAATCCAGTTTATTTTTCCTCCAGGGAAGAGCTTGTGACATAATGTTGCTTTAAGTAAGTCTAGATTCTGCAGAGTAGTTTCAAATTAAATGGAGGGATTTTGAGGTGAGTAATGCTCATTTTTTCTTTTTTAAATGTGGTTGGTTAATAGCTCAGTCTTTTTTGTGGCACATGCACTCAATAACTTGATTCAGAAACGTAAAGATGAGCTTCCCGTAGCACCTCGATCAACTTGTGACCTAACTGTCAAGACAAGCTGGAGGAGCCTGTGCAGAGGGGGGTACTATCTGAGGAGGTCGTTATGACCCCAATGAAGCTCCTCTCTTCAGGGTAAGATGAAGCAGCTGGTTATTACTGCTGAGCTTCTTATTTTGTTTACGTAGATCTCTCAACACTCCATAGACCAGATTGCCAGGAGAATTTTGCCTCACCAAATTAAAAAACATTTTTGAAAAACACACAAATCTGCCAGTTCTGGTTCAATTGAGGTCATTTTTAAGTCACAGATAAACTGATACCCTAGCCTTAAAGTAGTTATAATTTCAGTACTTTTGCAGATGATTAATCGTCTGTTTTAGAACAACCATTTTACAAGATGTTTTTAGCGGTGAAGAAACATTACAGTGATTTGTGGCAACAATTCTTGAACCGGTTTTATGCTTTCATTTTGTTACTTTTACTGCTCTTATAAAGTAAAAAGGAAAGTTGGGAGGAAAAAGCAAATATTAAATACAGTGTAGGTCAACATGACAAGCAAATATGACAGACTTTCCCAGTATAGAGTATCCTTGTCAGGTATGAGACCGTTTTTCCACATTTCAGTTGCGTGTTTGGCTTAGCTTAGTTAATTCTAGTTGATGACAGCTAAAGGTAGAGGCTGTCCAAACAGCAACACAACTGAAGATTCACTGATGGATTGTGAGTATACTGTATGTGAACAGGACTGTAGCACAACCTTTTATACTGTTAACCCTAAAAGCTACATCTTACAGACCTTGCATTGTTAGACAGAGCGTCATTGTAAAGAAGATAAAAGGCATGGTCTTGTCTTTAAGTTTTTTACACTTCTTTGACACTTTGCTATTTGCGCGCCTCCCCTCTCTTTCACTCATGATTCCTCTCTCTGTTTCTCCAGTGGTGTCGTAGGGGCCAGTGTGTTAAACAGGGTGACGAGGGCCCGAGGCCTCAGCATGGCCAGTGGTCAGAGTGGTCGTCCTGGTCTGCCTGCTCACGAAGCTGTGAGAGCGGAGTCACCTATCGAGAGAGGCAGTGCAACAACCCCAGGTATAGACACACAGGAACAATGGTCACAAACAAACGTATAGCAGTGCATGTTAGCAGGGATGAGCGTGGCTTAAAACATGTAAATATCAGTTTTGGAAATAGTTTCACATTTTTTAAATGCCTTTAGATAAGTTAGAGGGTTGGATAAGAGTGTTATTAGCACTCTCATGTTACAGTAAGTAACTTGTTATGGAGCTTAGTTTAGCTTAGCTTAGCTTAGCTTAGCAGAAGCATCTTAAATTCACAAATGTACACATTGGAGTGTGCTTTTTTCTTTTATTTATACATTTATTTGTTTGTATCTGTATATAATTTAAGAAGAAATGTAAAATTGACAATTTATACATTTTGCAAGAGTAACGCAATGTTTCCAGCAAGCAAAACCTGAGAGCAGTGCCTTCCTGGAGTGTTCTCCATGTTCAAATATATAAAGTCAAAGATTTGAAAATAAACGTAAAGCCCACCTCTAAAGGTGAGTTTTGACTTGTTGTGCAAAACAATTTGAATCACTATGTTCTTCTGTCATTTTCAGGACAAACTGAGTGTCCATATTTTCATACAGAAATAGTCTCTGCAAATTGTGATTGCTTGACTCAAGGCCAACAGTATATTAACACATGGGAAGATAACTCACATGGGTCTGCGGCTTCATCACTTATCTGTACACTTAGTCCCCCTACTCATCAGTCACTCAGGATTATTTGCTCTGCCAGTCAGAAAGGGGGCCCTATCCCACATGCTGGGGCCTCCTCTTTATCATGTTATGCCAAGATCCTGACAAGTGGCAGGTTAAATTAGACAGAGAGTGATTCAGGAGAAAGAGAGAGATATGGTGGTGGAGGGAAATGAAGAGACAAAGACAGGCAAGGGGAGAGAGGGAAAGGGGGGAGGGGAGTTGGTGTTAGGAGATGACAGAGGAAGGATTAAAACAGCGAAAGATGAAATGCAGAGATATAAAGGGAGGAATCTGAGAATGAGAAAGAGATAAGTGACAATGTGATTAGAGGGCTTATAGAAGGTGTAATTGTCCCATGGAAGGGATTTTGAGGAACCTAGCCTGGGGATATACACCTGTGATTGGAGAAGCCCTCACAAAGGCACAGTCATACATATACTGAAGAGCACACTCACTTATGGCGCATTTCCACTACACGGTCGGCCTCGGCCACACTCGGTACGGCTCGGTACGGCTTGGCCGCGTTGGGCCTTAACAGGGCCGACTCACTTCATGCTGCGCTTCCATTACAGTTTAGGAACTGGGGTAGTTACTATAGTAACGCAGTGTAGGCGGAGCCGTGACGTCATCTTCAGTGAGAACTCCAGAAACACAACACAGCCGTTAGCTGTTAGCACTCAGAGCTCACAGCTCCTTATATATGTTCAGAAACTCGACAAAAGTTAAACAAGTACAAACCACAGACTGCCTGTGTCATGGTGAATACAGTCGCTGCTTTATTTATGTCTGTATAGGCCGTTGTTGTGAGTGTGGACGGTCGGGGCATATACTGCGTTAGCTTGGCCAATCTCCACCTAGAAAAACACGCATTTTAAAAGGTTTGTCGCCTGCCGTCTGTCTGCAGACTTGACAAAGCATTAATTCATGGTTTTTACTAACAGTATGTTGTTACTTCGGCATCATTTTGAAACGTGTATTACAATTAAATCACGGTCAAATATGTCCATCTTGTTGTAGTTGTAGCCCCCTTGCAGCGCTCCTCTCTCTAGTTTAGCATACTCAGCCCGACTCAGCCCTGTTTGTTGGCCTCGATAGAACCACAATTTTATCGGGCCAGAAAAGACGTGAAAAAGTGGCCCCGGGCCGGGCCGTAACTAGGCCTAGTGGAAGCGCAACCAAAAACGGGTACGGCACGACACGGCACGCTTAAAGCGAGCTCCGCGCTGTAGTGGAACTGCGGCACTAGTCATACTGGTACACAGAATGGCAACTAATTCAGTCCTTCTCTGCAGACCTTCATATGGAGGGAAGTTCTGTGAGGGCTCCTCCAAGTCATACAAACTCTGCAACACTGAGGATTGTCCCCACAACACCACCGACTACAGAGCACAGCAGTGCGCAGAATTCAATGGCAAACAGTTCAGAGGATGGTACTACAGCTGGAGGCCGTACACCAGAGTGGATGGTGAGACAAAAATGGCTCAAATAAAGATTTGAAACGGTAAAGAGAAAGTCTGGGAGAGAGTTTTACAAATGATTTGCTTGTTGGCCCCTGTGGTTATTTTCTCTCCTCCCAGATCAAGATGTCTGTAAGCTGTACTGCTTTGCTGAAGGCTATGATTTCTTCTTCGCCCTGGCCAGCAAAGTCAAGGATGGGACACTCTGCTCACAGGACAGCTCTAATGTCTGTATTGACGGACTGTGTGAGGTAATATTTTCAAGTAATTAAAATATTGACTTTATGTTAACCTTCAAAAAACAGTCTTTGCAGGTGCTTCAAGAAATAAAGCAGGATATCCCAAGGCAAAATAACAACAGAAAGCCAAACAATAGGGCCCCACTGATAGAGTCTATGGACTGAAGTGGGACAATTATAGTAACATTTTAACAACAATACATAGAACGCAAAAACATAGTAAACAAAAGATGAATGAAAATATGTATTTTTACAACATACCAATAAAATAATGTTGGACATAAAACAAAAGTCTATAAAAATGGGTTTCAGCATAGACAGACATTAGCAGGTTTGACTGAAGAAGGATTTCAAAGTGTTGTGGAGTTAGTAATTGTTAGATTTTTTTGAAGATGTTATCATTCATAAAGTCTTTGAAGTTGAGCTATAAAATCTAAGTGTAACATCAATGGACATCCTTGCTGTTCATTTTTACGATGTTGACCACATGAGGGATGGTAGTTTTCACAGATTTATTTTTTTGTTGGTGAAATTCAATGATGTTTTTTCTTCTACAGAGAGTGGGCTGTGACCGTGTTTTGGGCTCCACAGCTGTGCCTGATGCTTGTGGTGTGTGTCAAGGAGACAACTCCACCTGCAAGATCTTCAAAGGACAGTACACAAAGCAGCATTATACCAACCGTGAGTCAGTAGTTGAATTGTTCAGTTCATTGGTTTTCAGGGGAAATATTTTAAAGGCTACTGATTTGTTTGCTTATCCCAACTGTATTTGCGTGCCTTTTAACATTTTAAAGCTCATACACAGCTACAAAATGCTTGCACTTATTCATATTTTTGCACTCTTTTCAGAGTATTATGGGGTGGTAACCATACCAGCAGGAGCTCGGAGTATCCGTGTGATGGAGCAGAATACATCCAGCTCCTATCTGGCTGTGAGGGACACTCAGAGACGCTACTACCTGAACGGGCACTGGACGGTAGACTGGCCAGGCAGACATCCCATTGCTGGAGCCATTTTTGAATACAAGAGACCCTACAACAGACCCGAGAGCCTCATATCAACCGGACCCACTAATGATACACTAGTCATAGAGGTAAGGCATCCCTGGACACAAAATAACTGTTTTTACTTTGAGGACATTTTATGCTAATTGTTAGGTTCATTTTTGTATTTTGTACTTTCTACTGAGACATGTTAACATGCTTTAATGTTCAAAAATGTCTTTATGTTTCTCATACTGCCTGTGCTGCAGCACCTCTTTTCACCCTCTGTCTGAAACCAGAGCCCAGTCTGCTCTGATTGGTTAGCTGGCCGGCTCTGTTGTGATTGGCCAACCGCTTAGAGATGTCCCGCCCCTTAGCCTATCATGTACAATGTGTTCGAGGGCTTGCCAATAGAAGCATGAGTCTTACATAGTGATGTCATTTTGTTACAGAAGTAAACAAAGGTGTCCAATCTAGGAGTTTCAGGTGGGGGGAGTGTAAGGGGGAGAAACCCCCTCTGGAGAGAAATTTGGGATTTTAGCCTTTGCAGACCATGCACGAAAAACTATATAACACACAACAGGAAATGGAAAGTCCAAAAAGCATAATAGGGCCTCCTATTATCCAAAACCCTTCCTTTTTCGTCTTTCATTCCTTTGTGACTAACTTTCTTAAATTCCCATGATTACTTATATCTCCATATTTTTGCTACTTTTGCTGTGCTTGATCCTTTTGCCTCCCCATTCTTTCTCCTGTAGATCTTGTTGCAGGGCTGGAATCCTGGTGTACGTTGGGAATACACTCTGAAGAAAGCTGATGAGAAAAGGCACCACATCAAACACAATTATACATGGGCCATCATACGCTCCCAATGCTCAGCAACTTGTGCCGGAGGTAAGACTTAAGCTATAATTTAGCTGCATTATCATATTTCACTGAAAATCAAGTCGAAATGTGGTTTTCCAAGCTGCAATAATAGGTGTGTTCAAATTGTGGAAAGTCTCTTTCATCTTCCTTTTTGCATAAAATTGTTGTTGAAAAATGTTACTTTTTAAAGTGTTTTTACATAGATACAATTCAAATATTATATTGCTGGAATACAAAAAGATCAGATCCCCTTTAGATCTTCAATCAGGGCAAGCATCTAAAGCTCAGTCTGACCTCTCTGTTCTGTAATAAGGCTTTTAGCTGCAGGTTAAATGGAGAGAGGAGCGTTCCCATCATTACTGAGGGTAGCTCTTGTGGTGGGACCTTTTCTTGTGCTACTGGCGACCTGCTATTACACACACACACACACACACACACACACACACACACACACACACACACACACACACACTCACACACACACAGGTATGACTTCAACCAGTGGCCTTTGTCCCACCTGAGGCTATGCTAACTAGCACACACATACACTCATAGACAAAGCCTCACACACCAACACTTTTGCAAAGTTATTGTAGTGAAAAGGGGCTGTAAGTCAGTGGTATGTAAACCTGAAAGTGTGCTTGTATGTGCATGGTGTATTTGTGTGTGTGTGCTTTTGCTTGCCTTCATGTGTGTGAACAAAGCCCCCAGTGTAGAGCCCCTATTGATTGACACTACAGGTTAAAGTTCCCCACCCTGGTCTGTTGCAGTCCACCCTAACCACCTCCACCTCTTTGTGTCCTGATTGTAGACCATCATGGAATGGGGGTCGTTTGCTTTATTAAAGAGTGTGACTGACTAACTGACCCCAATGAGTTAGGATGTGCAGATTGACCATGCCTTAGGCCAAATACCAACCAGGTGATATGTGAGGCTAGGATTCATGTTTCTCACAACGACACTGTCAGATCTAGATGCAGGCCAGAATTCATCAAAACTAAATAAATGTATTTATATATTTATTTTCTTTATTAGCCTGAAAAGTAACTAAAAGAAGAAAGTTAATTGATGTTAATGTTATGTGTTGTTTTCACATGTCATAGACAAATGTTTTTCTTTGCACATCACACATGCAGAATAAGGTGTGGTGAAAAGATTTTTTTTTTTCTTTAAATGTCTTTAACTAACTAAAATGTATTTGAGTACTAGTGTGAAAGCAGGTCACATATTGCAGGTGTATTATGTGCAAACATTTGATAGCATCCTGACAAGTAGCTTGACACACTATGACTTAAACAACAACTTTTGTTCCAAATACCTTGTTTTGTCAAACTGTAGTTTCCGAGGTCAAATGTATGCCTTCAAGCTCAGGAACACTGTTTTTTTTATACTGCAGTGCCAACAATCTGTCATACAATTCTCCATAACTATTTAATCCATCACTGTAAATATGATCCTGCAGTTTTGTATTACTGTTATTCTATAAAAGCAGAATACAATGTAACTTAAAGAGCAAATAAATGTCTTCTGTATTGATGATTTTCATGATGATTTTATGGATATATCCCTTGTTACAGGCCAGATGAACACCAAGTCAGCATGCTACAAAGACTTACGAGTGCAAGTGAATACATCCTACTGCAATCAAAGATCAAGACCAGCTACTGGACTGATACCCTGCAACACCCAACCATGTCCTGCCAGGTCAGACCCTTTGTTTTTTTATATAATTGTTGTATAGTTGTTTACTAGTCATAGTGACACCATTTTTTCAAATGATTAAAGAATATTTTATAGCAATTTGGTTTTGTTTTCGCCATGATAGTGTGTGTCTGTGTGTCGGTCTGTGCACAACCTTTTTCTCGAATCAAATACGACTATTCAATGACATTTTGTAGATGCATTCATGGTCCCAAGCGGTTGAATGCTAGTGACTTTGATGTTCTCCTGGTTTTCCCTCCAGTTCCACCATGAGGTTGACATTTGTTATGGTAATATCTCAACTACTATTGAACAGTTTGGAAGGATATCTTCTACAGACATTGATGTTTCCCTCAAGTAGAATTGTAATCACTTTGGTGACTACCAGACGTTTTGTCCAGTGTCATCATTAGGTCAAAATTAAAACAAAAGTAATTTGACAAAGGCTTTGCATAATAACTAAAGACCTCAAAAATAATTGACATTCTCATCGGTCTCAGCTCTGTATAATGCTAATTATCAAGCAGTAAGCATGCTTACTTGTAAATGTAGATCATATTACCAGCTTAAAACCAGCATATTAGCATTGTCACTGTGAGCATGTAAACATGCTGAGATTAGCATCTAGCTCAAGGACTGCTCTGCAAATGTATAAAGCCTCACAGAGTTGCTAGCGTGGCTATAGGCTCTTGTTGTTAAGATTTAAGTTCATAATATCACAACTAATTTAAATCAAACCTTAGTAATGTCAATGGCAATTCATGGCCTTTAACATTTTTGAATGATCTCATGAATGTATCTACGCTCTGGTTCTCAATCTGGACATCATTATAAAATGGTATTTGAACGGTGCAGACATTTCCTCACTTTTTCCTGATACATACTTTTGGATGGAAAGACGAAATAGTTGGCCAATCTAGACTTCTAGACTTTGGGGTATGTCAATTATTCAATTGTTCAATTGGAAGGGCTATTTTGTGTAGGTTATGTGACAGCCAAAAATATTGTTGGCTGTTCCCGCTCAACATTCTCTACGTGCATGTTCATGTTTGGAACTTGAGGAGACAGCTTTCACGGGCTAATAGCCAAATAGGTTGCCTTAGTTATTCAAGCCTACCACACTGCTTTTCCTGTGAATAGTATTTTAATTATTCTCTCTCATTTGTCTGAATAAACTTGTCTCTGTAATTTTGTTGTATCCTTTATCCTGATATAACATATGGAGTTAAGTAGTTTGAGTCCTACCTTCTGTCCTTTTCACCTTCCTCCTCCCTCACTCCTCATCACCCCATGTGTTATTGGTCTACAACACCTACACATCTGCTCTGTAATATTTGACATGCGATGTCAAGAGGAGCTGTTTATTGGTTGAGTCAACTCTTCCGAACTTCTCACACTATCTCCTCATAATAAAGTGAATGAAAGGTGTCAGGCACCACTGACTTTCTCCACCCTTTCCCAGTCCAGTTAAACACCTGTTCTATGTTGAGGACATTTTCCTCTCATGCATTGAAAATTACTTTTAACTTTTTGGAAAAACATATGTGAGATATGGTGAGGAAGGCACAGTTCAATTGGAAAGTGTCCTTGTGTCTTCATCCAATTCAGCATGATACCTCACCAACTGTCAGCAATGGTTAGCTTCTGTGTTTGTTTAATATGGCAGGCCAAGGACTTGTTAACTTTTTCACATGTAGCATCACTGTGGGGCCCAAGCTCATAACAAAACGCCAGTTTTCTGGCTCTATAAACAACCACCAGAGACATCACTTTTCAATGTGTAGTTTCTGAAACACTGCTGTTTGCTAAGTGCACTGCCAGCTGAGTTGATCGGGTATGTTTGGTTCCTCCAAATCCTTGAGAACCTCAGAAATGTCCTCCCTCAAGGGTAAACCAGAAAACAAGCTGATGATTGATTTGCTGCTGGGAACCAAAGTAGGAAATGTTATCATATGTTCATATGTTCACTTCCAGAGTGCAGTGGCCAAGATGCCTTTTTTGATGTCGTAAAATGTCACTGCTGTCGCTTAGAGTGGCACCAACACACTTTTTACGATGATGACACCAGACAGAAAGAGAGTGGGAGCGAGACCCACTAATTGTTCTGTGGTTTCAGGGTGGGGCTCTGTAGGATCTTGGCTAAGCTAAGTTGGTTTGGTCACTGTCTATAAACCAAGGCAGAGGATCAAAGATCAGTCAACGGGGTCCGATGCTACAGAGATCATAGGGAGTGGTGTGCCCGTTGACAGGCAGGACATATATGAACACACACATAAAGACACACACGGGAGAACTACCCCTCCCTTGTCTGTGCTGCTCTGGTCAGTGTCACGAAGGCCCTGACCAGAAAACAAATCAGTGAGAGAAACTCCTGGGATAGCTTTGGTTTTAATGCAAGGGGAGATTTTCTCGATGAAAATGGGAATGCTTTCAAGACACATAACACTGTTAAATGCTCTAACTGTGTAAGTTCTTTTACCAGACATGCTAAAGTTTGCAGCAATTTTTTTCAATTTTTTGTTGAAAAGGCTAGAAATAGACAACACCCTGCAAACCTTTTATATATGAATGTGTTTATTTTACAACAGTCCCTTGCAGAACAATATTAAAACCTCAATTTGTTTGGAAGAGGCAAATGTTCAATTTCACTACATGTTGTATTAAATAATTGCATATCTAAGAAGAATTGCAGATATACTTATCTGCAACTATTTGCCAATAAAGAACACAAAGAACAACCTAAACAGATTACGTACTTAATTTTGAGTTTCTGTCAAGACAACCAGTGCACAGATAGTGCAGGAGAATTACAGTATAGATGCCTGTCTTCCATTGTATAACAAAAGCATGTATCTTAAGGCTTTTGACAGCTGCTGTTGAGGCGTCAATTCCTCTGCGCCTCTATTCTCAGTATACCCATGTACAGTCTTAGCAATGGGCTGACATATCAGCCAGATTCTTACAAATGAGGTCGACACTGCTGACAAGTTGTGACTTGATTTACGAGCAGAGAATGGTTTATCTGAGACACTGACCTCATCTTGGTCACTGTTGCATGTGGACATCCAGAACAATTCTACTGTTTTATATCCAAATGGGTCTTTTTCCCCTGCATGTTAAGCTGTTTTGTTTTGCTGTGGCAAAGTCAAGCCTTTTAAAATAATTTCAAGACGTCTTATTATTTTTCGATTAAAGGCCATGCCAGATACAGGCACAATAGAGCATTGTTGCATCTTTGCTCCCGGACATCAGTGCCTCTAATGCTATAAACATATTGTATTACAGCATTTGCTAAATTCATCAAATGTAATATAATATAGTTATTTACAATGTTTGTCTGGAGAGGAAAAGAGACAAACAAAGCAAGCAAACAACATCCAAGATTGAGATTCTTGTGCGCAGGTCCAGATCTACAATGTACACACACACACACACACACACACACACACACACACACACACACACACACACACACACACACACACACACACACACACACACACACACACACACACACACACACACACACACACACACACACACACACACACACACACACACGCACAAATACAGGAAGAAGACAGGGCAGGAGAGGAGAGGAACAGTGGTGGTGTTTGGTTTCCATTAAGCTCATTCACACCTAAACTCTCTCACCCTTTCATCCCGAGGAAAGATTTTTGTAACGAACATTGCAGTCCAAAGTCTACTACGATAAAATATATTACAGTAACATTGATGAATACATTTTGAAAAGTTGTTTAATTTTCAATCTTTCCACCCCTCTACATGTATATTGTCCTTTTCTCTACAAATCTCCACTCATGCTTATGAAGTCATCTCAACCTTAATATGTATTCCACTGGTGGTCTCCCGACACCTGCTGAAAAAAAACATAGCATTAAAGAGGGCAACAATATCATGTAATCAGCCCTGAAATCATGGAATTCCAGTTACCAATTATCTCGTGTTTTATTGTAAGGGGATTTTTTCCTCTGCATTAGAGTGCCAGTGTCTTTCCTTCTTGCTCATATGGTTTGTGTCTGTTTTGGAACAGGTATCCTAGGAAAATCCATGTGATGACCACATAGCTGTCTCTCATTAACTGACAGTGAGCGTGTTGACAGACAATATATATATAAAGTCATAGAAAAAGGTGGCCATGTCCCTCCAGGGATTTGTTAGGTCAGACATTTTAAGTTATAATGGCATGCTTGTGGTTCATTGGGTCATCATGTGTACTAATGTGGTGTGTATTATGTGTCATTCCTGCTTTGTTTTCACTGCTATATTGAAGGAAAGCTGGTACTGTGAGCGCAGCGCATCACTGCCAGCTTTACAGATCATTCCCACCCAGGCTACAAACCTCTGAACTCATGGGGTTGTCAGGCAAAGAGATCACTACATGTTGTGTTAGGATGGCTACACTGTGCTCCACCTACTATACATAGTTAACGGTTTTTATTTGGGTAATTTACGTTACACATGATCCTTTTACAAACGTTACAACTGTTTAGTAATGTTGAATTAGAGTGCAGTGAAAAAAACACATTTGAACTCATATAAATCCACTGACTGTCAACTGACAAGATGACATAAGTGGTATGTTTCTGTATAACGTTTATGTTATTATATATATGAGCTTAAAGGTAGGGTAGGTAAGTTTGAGAAACCGGCTCGAGATACACTTTTTGTTATATTCCATGGAATGCTCTTAACATCCCGATAGCAATAAATATCTTAAGTGCTTTGACAAAAAATCCATAAAAAAATGTCATCTGTGGAAGCCGTAGTACTGTAAAAAGCACGACCAATCATTTTAGCCGGCCTGGCTAAAATAACTGGATGGCCTACCTGCCTGTCAGCCTTCCATCTGTGCACAAATTTATCTCGTGCCCTCATTGGTCATGTGCGCGTTCCTGTGTGTTGGAGGAGGGGCTCTATAAGGAAGTGGCAGATTTTCTCCGGTTGTGTATTTTCAAATTCTAGCGATCTCGAGCCTGTTT